TTCAAAATTCTTAGAAAGTGGCTGGAAATATAGAGGGAATGTGAGAGAAATGAACTATTATTTGTCTTCAAGCTCTGCTGTTTCCACCCCTTGGCTAATTACTTTTATTCTCACAGCAAGTGTTTCTTTCACCCTATCATTACCAATTTGAGATCTTCAATTTATCTCTCTGGTGTTGCTTTTTTTCATTAATTTGCACTAAGTTTATTGTTAGTAGATCAGGATGCTAAAATCTTTGATTCCCATCTCGTCTATGATGTAAATAATTTCCCAAATGCACTAAACATCAGAGTACATAGCATTGGCTTGAAAGTGACACATAATGCAGAGTCATAAGTTGATGTACAGACTTTTTATGCACTCTGATGAAATCATTGTACTTGGACATTCTGAAGTTGCCAAGTGCAGCTAACTCCACAGAGTTAATTTCTAAATGCTTGTGAAGGCAGATTTCTGAAGCATGTTTGTATTGCTGGCTGATTATGATGCCATTTGTAAAGATGAACATAGTTCAGCAAAGTGGGGTTTTATACTGGGAATCAAAAGACCTGGATTATTACTTTGACATTAATATAGGTTAATTCCACATGTCAAGACTTAGTTTTTCAATCAAATATTAAGGATTCTGGAAGCTTGGAAATGGAATGAGGCAAATTTTTAGCACTTATAATCGGAGAACAACGCCTGGGGAAGACTGCACGGTGGACCTTCCCTCCTGAGAACTCTGGTGGGCACTGCCATGATTTTTCTCAAACTTTCTGTTTTCCTAATAAATGGTAGACATCTCACTTTAACTTCTAAATGCTGACAAATGGTAATACATTGTTTATGTATATTTCAGGGTTAGTGTGAGGATAAAGTGTTTTAGAAAAAGTGCTTTGAAAAAACTGATCATTCCATGAAAATGTAAGGTGTTAATTCTTTTAAGGAGTGTTTAACTGGAGACAGCCTATGTTCATCTCGAACCAGATTTATAGAATAAAGATTCTTGTAAATTGAATAAGCAACACCAAAGCTGAAGTTCAGAGGAGAGGAGAGAACTTGCAAGGGTACTAGAGATAGTGGTGCAAAGAGAATTAACTTGTACTTTGCAGGAGAGAGTAATAATTGCAAAACTCCCTTGATAAATGAACAAAAGAGAGTTCAAGGGACTACAATCTAAGTGTTGAGCAATTATTATATGAAACTTTGGAGGATCTCCTATATGGCAAAGCATTCTACCTTGGGAATACAAAAATGAAAAAAAAAAAGCCCATTTCTGGCTTTGTGGGCCTCAGAAAATAGAAAATACCCCACCATGAGCAAAACTAAGATTCAATAGAAGAGGACTCTGCTATGGAGTGTGGAAGAGTCAAGAAGGCTTCACTGAAGTGGGGATCTTGATGAATTCAGACTGGTTCCAGCAAAGGATGGAGTGCCTTCCAGGAATGGGGGGTCAACCTAAAGTGTGGAGGAAGGGGGGAGGGTATAGTAATTTTAAAAATAATTAAAATAATAATAACAATAATAATAAATAATAAAAATAAATCAAACTAATTACCTCCTCTTCTCCCCCCCAAAAAATAATAAAGTGTGAAGGAAAGAAAGAAGGTAATAGAGTCCAAGGACACTGCGTAAGGAAGGCATTTCAAGAATATATAGTTTACACGTGGGGAATGTGGGGGGAAATGAGACACTAGTGCAACTGGAGAGGAAAAGGTGTATTAAAAGTTCTGTAAAACCTAAGATATGAACACCCCTGAAATTCCTTCAGGAGTAAGGTCAGAAATATAAACAAAGCAGTGAAGACTACCAGGAGGTGACAGTGGCAGAAGGGCGACTGGGTGCCTCCTGGGGGCGGGATCTCTGCAGGCCAGGCCAGGTGTGTGCCCAGAGTTAGCACATCTTCTTTTGTTGTCATTGCTGTTGCTTTAATTATGGTTTTTTTCCCCAGAGAGGCTGGGAATCCTGATTTTTGTAATGTTGGCATTTAATTCAGATTTTTAAAATAAAATACAGTTGGGTGACAGAAAACCTCTCTGTGGGTTTGGCCACAAATCATGGGCTTCCAGTTTGTGACTTCTCTACAAAGTGTTTCTGACAATGGTAGAGCTGGAAATGACGATTTCTATCTTCTTTTAGTCCACTCATTTCTCTTGTTAGGGACAGAAGGTGACTTCTGCGTCAGAGTCTACATTTTGATAAGGTCTCTAGGTGACTCACATGCACATGAAAATCTGAGAAGCACCACTTTTCAGACTTGGTTGTATGGAGAATCTCCTGAGGGGCTTTTTAGTTTTTTTGAAGTACAGTGGATTTACAGTATTGTATTCATTTCAGGTGTACAGCATAGTGATTCAGTTATACATATTTATATTTTTTCAGATTATTTTCCATTATAGGTTATTATAAGATATTGAATATAGTTCCCTGTGTTCCCTGTATATCCCTGTTATTTATCTTTTTTTTTATTTGGTGATGTCTATCTGTTAATTCGATACTCATAATTTACCCCTCCCTCATCCCGTTCCCCTTTGGTAACCATAAGTTTGTTTCCTATGTCTGTGAGTCTCTTGCTGTTTTGTATATAAATTCATTTGTATTATTTTTTCTAGATTCCACATATAAATGATACCATGTAATATTTTTCATTCTCTGTATGACTTACTTCATTTAGTATGATAATCTCTAGGTCCATCCATGTTGCTGCAAATGCCAATATTTCATTCTTTTTTATGGCTGAAGGGCTTTTTAAAGTGAATTGTTCCAGCCCCAGTCCAGCCTAGTTGCATCTGACTCTCTGAAGTTAGTGTGTGCTGACTTACAGAGTGCATTGTGCACATCTCTGCCCAGTTCCCTGTTTGGAGACATTATGTTGTCGGCTTGAAATTGCTCGTGGCAAGAGTATTTACACCATGGAAATTGGCAGCTACAAGTTAGGCCTTTAAAAAAAACCCACATAGTTGTTACCCAGCATACTAAGCCATCGAGTTCCTCTTTGTATAGTGATGGCACCATGAACAACAGGGGAGACAAAGTGTATCCATAAATATTTAGTTTATTTACGTGAATTACATGCAACTCGCAAGGAGATACAAATGATCCTCAGCATCTAAATGTTGCCCATCATTGAGGCAAGCTGATGTGCAATCTCCTTCATATACCCTGCATTACCACCCTAATATTGGCTATCTTCGACCTACCAACTGGCTCATTCCCACAGTACCCTGCAAACTTCTTCCAGGATAGAGCGAGCAGGAGTAGGGATTCGCTTCCCCCAAGAATGATATATAGCATTTGCTTCTGACTTTTCTTTTATCACTAATATGAGGATGGAGTTGTATTGCCATAGCATGTAAGAGTCAGGCCTTGGAAGTTCCGTCTCTGTTCTACTCTCTGATCTACTTGGTTGGACTCTAGCAGGGAACTTGCCCATTGTGTGTCTGGGGCCGTGGAATTTACCTCTCCTTATCTGTAGCCTGTTCTTCATTTTGTCTCTTTCTTTCGTCTCCTTTTCTTTCTTTCTTCACAATACTTGCATTTTCCTCCAAATACACTGACTGAACGTGTTCTATTTTTTCCAGCTGAATTCAGGGTAATACATTTTACTTCTGAGTAGTGGTCCAGAACACTTTGCTCTCTTCTCTATGTTTCCATAAACTTCTTTTTTTTTTAACATTTTTTATTGATTTATAATCACATTTGACAATTTGTGTCAAATTCCAGTGTAAAGCACAATCCCCCAGCTATACATGAACATACATCCATTCACCATTACACCCTTCTCTCTGTGAGCTACCACAAGATCCCGTACATCCCTCCCTGTGCTATACAGTATAATCTTGTTTATTTATTCTACAATTTTGAAATCCCAGTCTTTCCCTTCCCATCCTCCACTCCCTTGGCAACCACAAGTTTGTATTCTATATCTATGAGTCTGTTTCTGTTTTGTACTTATGCTTTGTTTGTTAGTTCGTTTGTTTGTTTTAGATTCCTCATATGAGTGATCTCATATGGTATTTTTCTTTCTCTTTCTGACTTACTTCACTTAGAATGACATTCTCCAGGAACATCCATGTTGCTGCAAATGGCATTATGTTGTTGGTTTTTATGGCTGAGTAGTATTCCATTGTATAAATATACCACCTCTTCTTTATCTCTTCTCTAGGTTTCCACAAACTTCTCTTTTCCATCTTTGTTATCTTTATGTCTC